CAAGGCACACGTGACAAATATTGGCAGCATTCATGGAGTCCTTTGTCATCCCCGGGATAACCAGGGACAAGCGAAAACCCATCCGGGCCCCGGGAGCCTGGCAGGGACGGAGCCACTGCCCAAGGAGGGCACGCGTCTCTGCACGTCCACCGCCAGGCGGAGAGTCCCCTCCTTCTCGGAAAATGCCTGCCCGGAATGTAACGCCTTTTGGATTTAGTAGAAGGCAGTGTGGTTTGGAGGAACCGGCAGGGGATACGCTTGGTTTGGCCTCTTGAGGGAGGCGTGGTTACATCTGGGAGGAAGCCTCGTCCTTAGAAGTCCCGAGTGGACGGGGATGGGCTCGAATGAGGTGCGTCTCCATCTGAGAGTGTCCACTCCGACCTCCCTCCAGGGCCCATTCGACCCCTCCGGCTAGCCTGTGGTTGGTGTCCACCATCCTGGGGTCATCAAGAACCTTCCACCCTGCCCTTGCTGACCTCCATCACAGCCTCACCCCTGGGCTCATTAGACCCTCCTGCCCGGCCCACGGCCAGCATCCACCTCCTTTGAGGCCACTTGTCCCCGGAAGGGGGGGAGGGAGGAGGACACAGACCTCACAGGACCCCTGGCTCCGGGGAAAAGAGGCCAGCGCCCGCGGCCCTGTGTCCAGATTTGTTGTCAGGGTCTCCAGAGCTCAAAGTACTATTTCTGCCCACTGCCTGCAAGAGCTCACCCTTCTGGGGGCTCAGGTGCCCCACTCTGCCCCCTACAGAGGGCACGTCCTGTGGCTGCTTTCTGTGGGAGCATTGGCCACAGTTTTGAGCACATATTTATCTGTGGGATTCCTGCGCTGGCCCTGGCCTCTCCCACTGGCCAGGGGTCCTGCTCTGCTTGGGGCCGAATCCTGGTGACAAGATTGCCTCGATCACGAAAACCTCCTCCTGCCAGCTGGGTGTCCCTGCAGACAGGTAGGCAGTCGGTGTTATCTAGTGCCTGTCGCTCTGGGCTGGCCTGAGACCCTGGCACGGAGGTGAGGAAGCCAAGTCCCTGGGAGCCCTGAGGCCAGGGCCAGGCGCAGGAAGGTGGCAGAGCCCCTGAAGCCCCAGTTGGTCTTTCTAGCCATCAAGGTATGGGGACAGCGATGTGTGAAGGGACAGATGAGTGGCTCCCATCCTGCCGCTTCTGCTGTGTGGCTCGGTGATCACCCACCTGCCCGTCCAGCTACGGCCCCTGGTTTAGCTGGAGGGCCCTCTTACTCTCGTTTTCAGCCTCCTGGGCCATGCGCCCCGGTGGCCTCAGCCAGACTGGTCAGCGTCCTGCTGTGGGTGGGAGAGCGTGCGGCCCCTTGCTGCCCAGGGTGGTCCTGGGTCAGCCATCCCGGCCTCCAGGGAGGTGAGCAGACATGGCCTCCAACTTTCGGGTTAAGGGAGCTGAGCTGGAGTCCTGTCCCGTTCTCCCTGGAGGAGTCCTGAACAGACCCCTGCGACCGTTTCCAATCACCGTCCACACTGCACGCCCCCCAGCAGCCAGCCCAGCAGGATGTATCTGAGAAAGGCGCTTGTGGGGCAAATGCCACATCCAGTCGCCAGGGGACAGGAGGAGGCTGAGCCCCCATGTCGGGGTTCTCCTGGCACCCTTCGATTCCTAGAGACAGCTTTGGTAAAATCAGCTTTCCTGAATGCACTTCCCTGTTGAGGACCAACCGCCTCTTCCCCGAGCGGCCTGCATTTCCATAGGGTTCCCAACAGACCCACAGGGGAAATTTCACCCCAAATACAGAGTGGGAGTCCGGGAGAAACACTCTTTTGGAAGCCGCATCTCTGGCAGAAGTCCCAGGAGCTCGGCGAGCGCCCCCAGACGGAAGCTGGCTTATGGCAACTTCCCTGGCGGTTGCGGCCTCTGTCCGGAGGGCCTGACGTTCACACCTTCAGCTCACAGAGTTAGCATGACGCTTGCCCGGTCCTGCGTGCACAGAACACGCACAACAGCAGCTGTCCCTGTGCTAAGTGCAGCCTCCGTGTGCATTTGGGCCTCTCTCCGCACGGTAACCCTGTGGGCCAGGCGCTGTTACACAGCCCAAGGTCACACAGCTGGGAGGGGTGGCACGCGTCTGCACGCTTAGCTGTGACACCACACAATGCTGGACTGTATCCTGGGCCGGGCCCCCGCCACACCACGCCACACCCGCGATCCAGGGCAATTCCGGGGTTTCTCTGAAGGACAAGGCCTCAGCAGCTGGGAGCCTCGAATGCAAAGAGAGAGCTGTGTGATCGATGAAAAGTCCAAGGGATGCCTGGTGGTGCTACCGCTTTGGGAGGCCTGCATTCCTGTCTCAAATGAGGTGCCGGCGATTCCTGATGGCTTCTTCCCAGACCAGCAGGACAGAGTGACCACGATGGCTCCCCTCCATCTGCTCACCTCCCACGGGGAGGTGGTGCTTCCGGAAAGAGCAGCACTTCCCATCTCGGTCTGCGCTCTGCGCCACCCCTTTGTTGTTGGTCAATATTGACGCTCTGGGAGAGGCAACGTTCTCCAGGGTAGACCATATGCTGGGGTGCTAGCTGGCCAGGGCTGTCCTTCCGAAGCACCAGAGCCCGAGCTTGGACAACAGACATGCCTTGTCACAGCTGTGCAGATGGGAAGGCTGGGATCGCGGGGTCTCAGGGCCCTGATCCCTGGGGAGGGGGCGGGGGGGTGCTGGGGGAGGAGCCTCCTGCCTTCCTGTGGCTCCTTGGCTTACCAGGTGTCACCGCCTTCAGGCTTTCTCTCCTCCACATGTCCCCTTTGCATAAGGACACCACTTATATTGGATTAGGACCCACTCTCCTCTAGGGTGGCCTCATCCTAATGATGTCCGCAGTGACCTTAGTCCCACAGAAGGTCACATTCTGAGGTACTGGGGGTCAGGACTTCAGCACATGAATTTGGGGGGGACATGGTTCAACCGATGACACTTTCGAGAGCATGGGGCGTGTGCACTGTCTCTCAGAAAGCTTGCCCATCATCCCTGGTGGCAAACTGCCCACTTGAGGCCTTGTCCTTTAAACCCAGCAGACAGGAGCTGAGAAGATGAATGCAGCAACAGCCCCAGCCACGCTTCAGACAGCAGCACCCTCACCCCACCCCACGGGGGTGCAGTGGGAGGCTCCCACTGGAGGCCTGGCACCTCCCATCTCGGTGAAAGAGGTGGATGCCAATCCCTCCCTGTGCACGTGCTGGCGAGGGCGGAGGGCGCTGTTGACCTGCGACCTTGACCCCAGGACACCTTGTCATACCTTCCTTCTCAGGTGGCTTGCCCAATTTTGGGACAGTACTCCGCTTTCCTTCCATACTATCATTAGGACAGGAAAATACCTATTTAAGAAGAGAGTCTATGCTTGATCCTCGATGCTTGAAAGATCATGCAGACTTTGCTACCACTGGGGACAGGTGGGGACAAGATGAGGAAGACGGGCACTTTGCCATGTCAGCCAAGAACAGGCGGGGCAAGCAAGTTCCAGTCCCCGCCCCCGTGGCCCCAGGGGCTGCCATTTCCAAGTGGGGATGGGGACAAGTGACCAGGTGAGCAGGTAGAGCACCGGGTACTAGGGGGACTGGGAACTGGGGTGGTTGGGGAGTCAGGAAGGCTTCACAGAGGAGGTGCCCCGCATGGGGAGGCCTGTCCAGGAGGAGGGACCGGGTGGCCACCAAGCGTGTGCTGATGTGAGCTGTTGGGGATGGACCAGTGAGGGCTCCTGGCCAGGCCGACCGCGAGGTGCCACCTCTATACCTATCAGAGCTGATGGGTGACCACGGTGTGTCCTGTATAAAAACGGCCACTTCACCTGGCCCGACTAACACCAATGCCCCACATTCTAGACCTTGAGCCTGTATAACAACACATGGTGAGCCTCCTGAAATCCCTGGAGTGCCTGAAAAACAGACCCACACCTGGGCCACACCAGCTAAATCCTGGTGTCTGGAGGTCACCTGGGAAGGACCTCCTGCAGAGGGGCTAGCCTCCTGCTCTCTGGTCTCTGTGACTTTAGGGGACCCCTAGGTCCCGCTCCATGCATATGGAGGGGTGGACAAGAAGTAGCGTGGGCTACCTGAAGGGTCAGGGCTTTTGCCCAGAATCCTTACCTCTCTGCAAGCCTCCTGGGGCCAGCTGCTTACCCCCTTCCTGGTGTGCAAGGGCGGACAGAGGCACCCACCCCAGGGGCCACTGTGAGCGCCAAGGAAGGCAATGTGGTTGAAGCGCTGCACAGAGCCCCTTCCCTTGGAGTGAATGAGCATAGGCCGCGGGACGGGAGGCGCTGGGTGGGGCCCACACACGCGTGGAAACCGCACCTACAATTGTCCCGTGCTGGAAGCATACGGCCCGCCCTCACTTCGGTTTCCAGGCGCCCCCCCCCGCCCCGTAGGGCAAACTCAGTGTCCCTTTCCTTGCGCCTCCCGCCCCATCCCTGCACCCACAGCTTCGCCGCCAGCCAGGACTCTGGCCTGACTTGTCCGTCTGTGTGTCCGGCAGCCGGGAGGTGAGGTGCCACGCCGCGCGCCCCCGCATTCGTTCACGGGGTTCGCAGGACCAGGGCGCGAGGGTCCCGCGTGGGGGCGCCGGGGGCGGGAGGGCGAGCCGCAGGCCCCGGGGTGCCACCCCCGCGCTCCTCTAGAGCCAAGGGGCCTGGTCTTACTTGGGGGGGAGGGGTCACACGTTTGGCAGGATGGAGCCCCCTCCCCCGCCCCAGGGCACGGCGCAGGATTCCTGCGTTTTCCCCGCCCCGAGAGGCGGCCCCGCGGGCTGCGCCGCCCGGCGGCGGGGAAACTGAGGCTCGGGGCGCGGCGGGGCTGTCGCAGCGCGGCCGCCGGCGGCCCGCGGCCGGGCGGGCGGCGCAGTGCGCAGGCGCGGCGGCGGGAGGGGACGCGCTCGGGGCGCGCGCGCGCGCGGGGCAGCCGGCGCCCCGAGTCTGCCCGCCGCGCCCCGCGCCTCCCGCCCGCGCCCGCCCGCCCCGGCGCCCCGGCCGCCGCCGCATGGCGCTGAGATGGCGGGGGCGCCGCGCGGCCGAGGCGGAGGCGGCGGCGCGGGCGAGCCCGGGGGCGCCGAGCGGGCGGCCCGGCCGGGCGGCCGGCGCGGGCTGCGGGCGTGCAACGAGGAGTTCGCGTGCCCCGAGCTGGAGGCGCTGTTCCGCGGCTACACGCTGCGGCTGGAGCAGGCGGCCACGCTGAAGGCGCTGGCCGTGCTCAGCGGGCTGGCGGGCGCGCTGGCGCTGGCCGAGCTGCTGGGCGCGCCGGGGCCCGCGGCCGGCCTGGCCAGGGGCTCGCACCCGGCGCACTGCGTGCTCTTCCTGGCGCTGCTCGTGGTCACCAACGTGCGCTCGCTGCAGGTGCCCCAGCTGCAGCAGGTCGGCCAGCTGGCGCTGCTCTTCAGCCTCACCTTCGCGCTGCTCTGCTGCCCCTTCGCGCTCGGCCGCCCCGCGGGGACCCCCGCCGGCGCGGCTGCGGGGCCGGCGGCCGCCGACCAGGGCGTTTGGCAGCTCCTTCTGGTCACCTTCGTGTCCTATGCCCTGCTGCCCGTGCGCAGCCTGCTGGCCATCGGCTTCGGGCTCGTGGTGGCCGCCTCGCACTTGCTGGTCACGGCCACCTTGGTGCCCGCCAAGCGCCCGCGTCTCTGGAGGACGGTAAGTGCCGCTGCGCGCCCTCCGTCGGGTCTGGGGTACGCGCCTGCCCGGGAGGGACCGGGAACACAGAGGGCCGGGTGCGCATCGACAGATGGGGCAGGTGGGGAAACTGAGGCCCCGAGTGTGTGTGGGGGGGCGTTCAAGGTCACTCAGCGAGCTGAGGACGCGGTGGGGGCTGCTAGGGCCGGGCTCTCTTCCGAGTTGCCATCCACAAAGCTCCCCTGGGTGTGGGCTGTGAAGACGGGAGCCTGGAGAGGGCAAGAATTGGCCCAAGGTCAGGCAGCTGGTGAGCCGCCAAGCCCCGCCAGAGCCCAGGTTGGCGCTTTTTGGCCGCACGCATCCCGCAGGAGGGACGGAAACTGGGCGCGGGATCGCCCGGGTGGGCAGGGCTCTTGCTGGCTGTGCGCACAGCTCCGGGCTCCTCTCCAGTGTGCCTGGACCTCGTGCAGGGCTGGCAGAGTCTCCCTCCCAGCCTGCGGCACCCCGGGGATGTGGGGAGGGGACAAGAACTGGGGTCCCCATCAGTCTCTCTGGTGCCCGTCGTGGACCCGTCTCTGGTCTAGAAGAACACGTTTGCCAAGGTCGAACGGGGCTCTGGTCCTTGCCGCCCCCGCCCTGCTGGGGCCTGACCAAGGCTGGCCGAAACCGAACTTTGTCACTGCCTTCGGGGCGGGCCAGTGAGACCGTAGCGAGGACAAGGACGCTGCCTGCTTCCCATGGGCTCCTCCCCAGCTGGGGACCTGGGAGGCTGGAGGCAGATGTCTTTGGGGTGTGGGGCTGTCTGAGCCTGTCTGGGCAGTGTAGCCCAGCCCAGCCCACTGGGGCTCCGAGGACCCTGAAGGAGGGTTTTGTTTCGGCCTCTGGCAGCATTTTGGCAGGAGCATGGGGGGGAATCTGATGGGGTGGGCGAGCCCATCTAGCGGGAGAATGTGGCAGATGGAGGCCATGGGGGAGATGGGGTGAGGAGGGGAAGCTGGACAGAGCAAGCTTTGGGAAGGAAGGGGGGGGCGAGGGGAATCAGACAGCAGTGTCTGGGGGACCCCCTGAGGACCCAGGGAGGTGCTCTCGGATGGTGATGCCAGGGACACCCATGGTCAGAGGGGCCATGGACAGGTTCCTGCAGCAATCCTGCACCGCCCTGGTGTGTGGAGCTCTGGGATGTAGGCCCCATACTTTGGGGACCCTGTGGCGCCCGGGCTGGCCCAGACACAATGCTGGACGTACATTTCAGGGCCCAGAGAGGCCAGCACGTGCTGGGGGCTGGGAGGGGGAGGAGGAGCGAATGGGGGAAGGGAGCTGGCAGAGGGGGTGCAGGGGAAGGGGCCTGTGGAGGTGGGAAGAGAGGGAGAAAGCAGGGGTGAGGGCCAGAGACAGAGGTGAGGCAGAGAAAAGGAAGGAGGGCAGAGGGCACCCTGCACCCAGGGAGGGGAGGGGGGTTCCGTTCTGGAGGGTTTTCCAGCAGACCTCCTGCTTGTGGCCTTACTTGGTCCTCAGGAGGTGCTCCTGTACCCCTCCCCCTACAACCCTCCCATCTGTTGTGTGTTTGGCCCTCACAGCCGGAGGAGGGGGGGTGGCCCAGCAGGACGACCTCCCCACCAGGACCAGAGGGGGAGGCCCAGCGGCCAGGTCCGCTCCAGGTGGGGAGGGGAGGCCCGAGATCTGATGTATTAGGGGTTCAGCTGGCTCAGTGAAAGGCTGTACTGTTGTCTATTTCTGAAACCATTTTTTTATACAGTTTCTGGTCATTCCTTCTGGAGAACTAAGCGAGAGGAAAGACTGTGTATAGATGCCTTGGGCCCAGGGGGCTCTGCTCCCAGGGTAAGATGAGCCCCTGTGTCCTCGGGGGAAGGGAGCCTATCCTGAGAGCATGGATTCTTAGGGAGCAGACATCTGGGGTTGGCTGCTGCTGGCTTGCTGGGCAACGCACAGCCTTCCCGCACAGAGCCTCAGTTTCCCTGACCTGCAGAGCCTGCATGCAGGTGGAAAACTCCTGTTGGAAAAGCAAACATTCAGAGTCTCCTGCCTCCTCCAAGTTGTTCTGGCATCTTTAGAACGTCCCTGTTCAGGTCCGCGCGTCGCTACCGGTGGTGGGGATGTGGACAAACAGATGGGGTGGGTGCAGACAAACGTGGTGAGGGGCCTGGGTGCTGCCCCGGGGATGGAGTCTGCGCGTGGGCCAGGAGGCCAGTGGGCGAGGTGGGAGCCACGCCACTCCCGGCTGCTCCATCCCCTCCCGGCTACCCTGCAGTGTGGTCATGTGCAGACGGCCGGCCCCTTGTTCTTCGTGAGCTGGTTTGGGGCAGGACATGAGGTGGAGGCCCAGAAGGACTGGGTGACGGGTGACCGAGGCCCTCTGTGCCTTTGCTGTACCTCCTGGGCGGAGTGTCCGAGCCACGGGAGGGACAGAGGTGCTCCTGCTCGGGGCACTGAGGTCGGGGGTCACACGGGAGGCCCCCAGAGCCTCTGCCCCTCCACAGGGAGGGTCCGGGAGGTTCCTGCAGCAATCCTGCACCGGCCTGGTGTGCGGAGCCCTGGGATGCAGGCCGCATGCTTTGGGGACCCTGTGGTGCCCAGGCCGGCCCAGGCTGACAGGCTGAGAGCACCCAGGAGGTCGGGGACTGCACGGTTGAAATTCGGGGTGCTGCTCGCCGCCCTGCCCCGGGAGGGGCTCCTGCTTCTGCTCTCAGCTAGGGCGCAAGGAGTTTAGGGAGAGGGTCTCATCCCCACCCCCAGCCCAGCCCAGTCCCCAGGAGGAGCCTCGTAAATACTGACCAGACTGGGCCCCTTCCCTCTTCCTGCCCCTTGCCCCCTATGGATTGTATCTACGTGAAGCACAGAAATTCGTTTTTATTTAACTGAGCCATGTGTCAGAACTGAAGGCATCATGTTGGGGAACCCCTGAGGTCTGCTCTGGGGCAGTAGGGCGGGCATGCCCGGCTGGGGCAGGCTGGAGACCTGGGGTGGGGCAGGGGGGCATGGGGGGTGAGGAGGAGGAAAGGGGGAGACGCCACGCCTCTGACCCCTGCTCCCTGGTGGTGGCACTCGGGGACTTGCAGGGTACAGCTTGAGGGAGGGAGTGACTGTGCTTGGGGACTGGGGGCAGTGGTGGGGAAGCAGAGTCAGAAGTGTGCATGCCAAGGTCATGGCCTTGGAGTGGTGGTGGGGGCAGCGGGGTGTGTCTGGAGAGAAGCAGATGGCTCAGGTGCCCCTACAGGAGACCCCCTGGGGCCCTGCTCCTCACCGGCCCTGCGTGTGCGCCTCGGCCAGCTCCAGCTTCCTCCTGGGCGGCCTCTCCCTCGCCCCCCCTCCCTCCCTCCCTCCCGCGGCCCCCAGTGTCCACTTCTTGGCCAGGGTGGGGCGAGACTACTGTATCTTCTTGGACCCATCCGGGGGCCACTGCCCTGTGCAAAATGGTGTTGTTTGGTTGCCTGTCAATGTAAGTGACGTATTTCGTGCCCCCTCCCTCCCCAGGTCTGGGACTCAGGCAGGGCAACAAAAAGCACCATCGTCGTGGGCAAGTGGAGGCTGGCGGGAGTTCCCCTGTGCCCCTCCAGGTCATCTGAGCTCTGGGGAGAGCTCGAATGCTGCAAGCAGGTGGAGCGATGGCACCGCCCTCAGAGCCCAGGTGCCCAGGCTGCTCACAGCAGGGCCCGCCCCAGACGTGCGCTGCCCGCTTCCCCCGCTTCCCCCACGGGCTGTGCCCACTCCCCGCGCTCCCGCTCTCCTGCTCCCGGGAGTCGTCCCGACCTATGCCCCGCCCCCGGCCGGGCCGCTCCAGGCGGCCACCCCCCCTCGCTGCCCGTAACTCCCCTTGCCGGCCCCCTCCCCCGCCGCCTCCCTGCCACCCCGCCGGCCCCCCTCCTCCCCCGTCACTCCCTCCGCCGCGTCCCGCCCCCCCCCAGGTCTGGCCCCGCCCCCACGACTTCCCCCGTCACTCCCTCAACCCCACCCCGCCCCCGGCCTGGCCCCGCCCCCTGCCTCCTCTAGGTACCCCCAGCCCGCACCCCGCCTGGCTGGGCCCCAGCACCGCTCCCCTGGCCCCCACCCCCACAGGCCGCGCCCCTGCTGCCTTCGCTTCCCGGCTGGCCCCTCACCCAGCAGGGCCCCTCCTCCAGCTAGGCTCCGCCTCGGCTGGACCCCCTCTGCAGGCCTCCTGCCCCCGCTGCCCTGCATCCGCAGGCAGCCGGGCCCTTTACCCAGGCTGGCCTCTCTCCCCCGCTGCTACCTCCCTCCTCCTCCCCCATCTTGCCTGGGCCCCCGTCACTTTGTTTGCTCACCTGCCGGTGCATCCACCTGCCTTGGCTGACCCAGGGCTGCTAGGTTGGGGCTGGAAGCGGGAGGGAGACAGGTGGGTCCTCCTGGCTCCCACCAGGCCGTGTGAAGGCGAGGAGTGGGTTTCTCTGCCTTGGTGAGGAGTGACCCCAAAGACAGCCTCCTTGGCCTTGGCTGGACCCTCTTTCTCCAGGCCTCTGGTCGCTGGACAGGGCTCAGCTCTTTCCACCTCGGGCTTCCGTCACTCTGCACACTCAGGGCCCTGACACTCCCTGAGCCCCAGGTGGTGGTAGGTGTCTCCTCCAGGCCTGCAGGTCCGTGTCCAGCGGGCGCCCCACTAGGAACACCCGATCCCCCATGGGCTGCACTCCCACATCTGCCCGGGGGGTCCCTGGGTTCCCTGCCCATAACCTGGTCTGCTTCCTTGGAGACTCCTGTTAGCCTCCCTCCAGAGCAGTTGGCCCTAACGTGAGGAAGTACCTGGAATGGCTCAGGCCGGGGCACAGGAATGGGGCTGACGGGAAATAGGGCCTGGACGCTGAGGGGACACATCCCGGCTTCAGACGAGGGCTGGCACCTGCTCGGAGCAGAGTCCTGGGGACTATTTTTTGCTGCCCCAGCAGGTGCCAGGTAGGGGTGCTTCTGCCGCTGCAGGACCCAGGGACTGTGCCTGGGCTGGAGTCCAGCCCCACCGGTGGACCCGCTGGGGGCGCCTTTTCTGGATAGCT